ATCAATTTTCTAGAAGTGTTTTCTAGGAATATAAGTATACAATTACTGATAACCAAATTCAGTTTATAATAATTAATAAATACCAGAAAGCTACATATAAAAATTCTTTTTTTGCCAGGCACAGTGGCTTGTGCCCACTAGCACTCTGGGAGGGTAACATGGGAGGATCCCTTGAGCTCAGGAGTTGGAGACCAGTCTGAGCAAGATCAAGACCCTGATTCTACCAAAAAACAGAAAAAGTAGCTAAGTCCTGTGGTAGTCCCAGGTATCCAGGAGGCTGAGGCAAGAGAATTACCTGAATTAAGGGGTTTGAGGTTGCTGTGAGCTAGGCTGATACCATGGCACTCTAGCCTGAGGCCACAGAGAGGAATCTATCTCTTAATAAATATATAAATAAAATTAAATACATAAAAAATTCTTTTTCAGAATTTGCAGCTATTTTTCCAAATGACAACCTGAAAGTATGTCCAAATGCCTTGATTATAGGCCAATCAATCCCCTATTTGCCTACTGAGTTTCCCAAACAGCTCTTTGGCTCTTAAATAACAAATCTTTAGAGAAATAAAGGCAATAGTTATGTGCTTACTTTTGTTTGTGAATTTAGCTCAAGCATACTTAGAAGATTAAGTTACACTTATTAAAAATATTACTTTAGAAAGATTTCATTCTAGTTTATTCTAACTCTTTTGTGAATGCTAGCCAGTTTCTGGCTCATCTAAGTTCTCAAGAGCACATCATTTTCACTTCTATGTTTTTGAAGATGCAGAATTTTGGTACAGTCAACAAAAAGTTTATCTGAAGTACCACTGGCATAATGTTATCTGGGTTTTATTGTTTCAGTAGTCCCTTAGAGGATGGACAGATAAAAAGAAAAAAAATCATTTTATGTACTGATTTTTAAGATACTCTTTGAAAGACTGTGCAATTTGGAAATAAAAACCTTAAGAACAGTTACTGCATTAAATTTCTTACCTTTTTGTTATTTTAAACTGAGTCCTCTCAGGCAGTAGTCTCTTGGAATTCACCCTAGCTATCATAATGTCTCTGTTTTCTGCCCCTTTCTTCATTTTAATAATAAAATAATGGGAAAGGTGTACGGGTACATAAGAATTCACTTCAATGTATTAATTTTGAAGAATTCCTTAGGGCATTTTAAATCAAATCAACATACCTGTTTTATGTAGAAGGTTCCATAGCAAGAACTGACTGAAGATAGTTATAGTTATAAAAAGAGGAACTATGCCCAAAGAAATATCAGTCCAATCCACAGGACTGCTCATTGTTGTAAAAATTTAGGAGTAATGTCCCCTAAAGGGTACATTAAAATTTTAGTGATTTGAAAAAGCAAACCCCTTTAGAATTAAACTCAAAAATGTGACTTCAGATATAGTCAAATTAGACCAAAGCATCACAAGAAGGAAGAAATTTCTGCTCAAAAATCCAATCAAAGAGGAACAGAGACTAGTTTTCAAACATTCTCTTAAAAGTGAAAAAATAAACAGTAATTCCAAATTTGGAGAGGACCAATGACTTCATAGCACAAAGGTTAATAGCATAGATTCTGGAATCAGACTGAGTTCTACAACTTGATAAATGTGGGGCCTTAGTCAAGAAATCAATTTAAAACGTCAAATTTTCAATCTCCAAATACTTTGCCTAAGATCGCTGGGGGATAAACATCCACAATAGCACAAACCATTGGGTATATCTGGATACTGGAATAACATGATACACCATAAATTAATTACCTTTCGTTAAACATTTACTTCTTCAGTCTATGAAGTGGCAATTCACCATAATAAGTCTTATTATAATAAAGAACGAAGACCGTTAGATGAACCAAAAGTTCCATTAGATTTAGCAACATACCTTATCATATGGCAAAAGGCCTTTCAAAGGAAAACGAAGGGTAGCAGGGTCCAATTTCCATGAATTACAAATGGCGCCTGAGTTATTTACAACTGGCAGAAGACTGCAGCGGCCTATTATATGTTAAGAAAAATCTTTTTAAGTAAATGCGAAACACAGCATGAGCATGTACAAACCAGGCTTTGGTTTGAAAATGTTTAAAAACTGTTTTAATGAGACAGAAATTTCATAATTTTCTTTGATTACTTAGTTCAGATGATCAATGTACAGGCCTTCTGAACTCAAAAAATGCTGCATTTTGTGTAGGTGTCTAGGACAGAAGCCAGAAATCTTCAATCTACAGGACAAATCCAGCCTGCTACCTATTTCTATACTGCTGTTCTGGAACATAGGTGCTTTTGCAGTACAACAACAGAGGTGAGTAGTTTCAACAGATCATATAGCTCACAAAGCTTAGAGTATTTACTATACGATTCTTTATAGAGAAGTTGGAAATCACTAGTCAAGGATCAACATAATTAACTTTATGTGGGATATCTCTAGAGGCCTTAGACGTAGCATATGACTATCAGCTTATATATCAAACTACCTAACAAATATTGTCACTTGGATGTCCCACAAGCATGTCAAGCTCACTGTGTCTTACATTAAATGCATCACCATCCTTCTCAAACCTGCTTTATTTCCATAATTCATTACATGTGATGAATACCCGTTTAATTACAAAAGACAGAAATGTAAGAATTATCTGTCCAGTATCTATTTAGTTTATTTTTGTATTTCTAATGTCTAGAATAATACCTGGCTCACTGGAAGTGCTCAATATTTGACCACTGAATAAATAACAGTCAACATTCCTAAATAGTTCTCAGGCCACCATAATTTCTAGAAATAATTCAGGGCAGTGAGCACTGCAAAAGTTGTCAAATCACATGTGTTTTTTAAAAGAAAGTTCAGAGAATCTAACAAAACATAAGAAAATGGAAAACAAAGTATATGAAATAAAGAACAAAAGTGTAAATGTGAATGGGCTAAATGAGCCTGAAATGCTCATGCTCTGTGGCCATACAGAAATGTCTATGTTGAGACTTCCAGTTGCCCAGCAATTCCATGGTGTTTTACTAGCTATATTGAAAGGTCTTTCTACACAATAGGAAACCTACATTCTATAATGGTTTTATCTGACATTTAGATCATTCCACATGACCTAAAGAAAGGAAGTTGCTCTTCCCTCCTATACTCAGAACACAGAAAACCTAAATGCAAGTGAAAAGCTATTTATTATACATGTACTAAGTTTCTAGAGCAGCAGTTCTCAACCTGTGGGTCACGACTATTTTTTAACAAATACATTGAAGCATTAGGAAGGCTGAGAGCCACTAGAGAATCACTAAAAAACAAGCCACCAAGACACGTATGAGAGACCATCCTTTGGCTTTGGTCAATAGTCAGATCATTAAACATCAGGTACTATTTGATATATTTTCCATTATAATCCTACCACAAATGGAATTTATCCTTGCTGTGGGCCTGAAGGTATCCACAAAATCTGATACCAGGTTTCCAAGTAACTAAAAAAAGAGAGAGAGAGAGAGAGAGAACATGAGCACAGTGGAGAGACAGGGAGGGTGAAGTGAGGGGGAGATACAGAGAAAGATCAAACTAGTTAAATAAAAATTGAGATTGCCCTGAATATACCAATCATTTACATAAAATGAGATAAAACATGTAAAGATTTAGAACGATGCCTGGCACATGATAATTACTCAAAGGTTAGGTGGTTTTTGTTTTCTTCCAAGTAATTGTTTACCAGCTCATCTGGTAGTTAAGCCCAGTCCCATCATCATAGCCTTAGCTATCTGATGAAGCTGTGCACATTTTATTACATGGCATATAAATTGTCTCAATAGGACAGCAAAGAAATGAAAGATTTAAATTATGATTTAAAAAATACAAAGTAAGGATAAAAGTGACTACTTTTGAAAAAGCACACAAAAAAATAAGATTAACATAGCTGTTTTTAATTTAAATGTCTATTAAAATTTTGGGAGGCATAAAATTTACCCAGTGTGGAAGTTTTCCCTCAGGGTATAGTTTCCTGATTTCTGTGACTGCAAAATATGCTGGCAGTAAGCAGGCATTTCTTTCCAAGATGTATGCTATAACCTAAGAAAAATAAAAAGGCAACTTGATTCTCAACGAGTCCCACCTGTAAGTCTTTTAAATACAACAACAGGAACAACAAAAACAAGAACAAAAGACAACATTGAAAAGTAGAGAAATTAGGGTGGCGCCTGTGACTCAAAAGAGTAGGGCGCTGGCCCCATATACCTGAGGTGGTGGGTTCAAACCCAGCCCCCGGCAAAAAAACAAACAACAACAAAAAAACTGCAAAAAATAAATTAAAAAAAAAAATATATATGTATATATATAGAGAGAGAGTAGAGAAATTACTGTTTGGGAGAGAGAAAATGAAATTTCCTGTAGAAATTTCATTATATGAAGTTCAATATTTATGTAAATATATATATAGAGAGAGAGAGTAGAGAAATTACTGTTTGGGAGTAATTTCCTGTAGAAATTTCATTATATGAAATTTATATAGAGATATAATTATATGAAATGTATATATAGAAACGTATATATGAAATGTATATATAATTCATTATATGAAATTTATATAGATATAATTACATTATATATAACCATATACATTACTTGTATATAATTACATTATATGAAATGTGTGTATATATATAGAGAGAGAGAGTAGAGAAATTACTGTTTGGGAGAGAGGAATGACCATTACTGTATGGTCAAAGGAAATGAAATTTCAGTTAGGAGGAATAAGTTCAAGAGATGTATCATATATTATGGTGACTATGTTTAATAAAAATATACTGCATACTGGAAAATTGTTACGACAGATTTTAAATGTTGTCATCACAAAAAATAAATATATGGGGTAATATATATGTTAAATAGCCTGATTTAGCCACTCCACAATGTGGATATGTGTGTGCATGTGCAGATGTACACACAATTGTTACTTGTCAATTAAAAAAGTAGAGGTATTATTTCATGAACTTATTGGATTTAAAGTGTAGCATGAAGAAATCCACTTATATGAAAAGAATATCTAGAAAGGAAGGTAATAAACAATGGAATGGAATGTTCATGATTAGTAAGTAACCTTGAAATGCTAAATATTGGTAGGCTTAAACAGGAGTGCAACAAAGTAACAATTCTCACATTAGTCACTAAGCAGGTAGTCCATAGGCTGATGTCTCGTAATGGTTTAAGATACTTTAATGTCTATAATGTTGTTTACATAGTTCAAAACCATTAATTAAAATTTCTTTTTGAAATAGGATAATAGTGAGAGAGCATCTTTAAAAACAGAAGTGATTTGTCAAAAAAAAATTAAACAATATGCAAAATATCATAAGTTTTAAAGGCAAACAAAACTAGACTCTTTTGAGTTGACCATCAATGAATTTCACACATGTCTAAATTACCTCTCTTGCTGCCAGAAGCTGCTGTACAACAGCAGAGCTCACTGTATTAGGAATTGTCAAGATTTTCTCCAAAATCACTTTTAAGAGATCTCGAACACCCTGATAGAAGAAAAAAGGCAAAGTTTAAAACTAAGAAGTATCTTCTATGATAGCTAAAACCACCAAAGCCTTCATTATTATACACTCCTCTAGGGTCACACCTTTAAATTTTCTGAATCAGAGTTCTTAACAGTAACCCAAGAGAAGAGTCATATTCCAAATAGAATTATACAACAAGGGCCCTCAAACTTTTTAAACAGGGGTCCTTTTTTAAACAGGTCCTTCAGACTGTTGGAGGGCTGGACTGTGGGACCCCAGGACGAGTTGGCTGCTAAGTAGGACAGGCAGCAGTGGCAAAAACACCCAGTGGGGCCAGATAAAATGTCCTAGGCGGGCCGCATGTGGCCTGCGGGCTGTAGTTTGAGGACCCCTGATATAGAATGTCTTGTAATAAGAATGGATAAAGTTCCTTATATATTCTGCCAAGCTTTTTTTTTCTTTTTATTGTTGGGGATTCATTGAGGGTACACGGAACCAGGTTACACTGACTGCTTTTGTTAGATAAGGACCCTCTTATAATTGTGCCCCACTCCCAAAAGGTGTACCACACCCTGTGTCCCCTCACCCCCTCCCTCCCTTTCTCAGCTCTCCCCACTCCTCACTGTGTACTAGGACCTTAATTATCCTCATATCAGCATTGAACTTTTTTCTTTTTCTCTTTTAACAGTAGAAGAGTTTCTATGTTCTGGTCAAAAAGCTTAACTTGTACATATGGATGAAAATGTATTGGAATAGGACTTGAAAGCACTCTGAAAATGTGGGTAGGCTCAGTGCCTGTGGCTCAAGTGGCTAAGCGCCAGTCACATATACCTAAGGTGGTGGGTTCAAATCCAGCCTGGGCCCACCAAACAACAATAATGGCTGCAACCAAAAAATAGCCAGGAATTGTGGCGGGCGCCTGTGGTCCCAGCTACTTGGGAGGCTGAGGCAGGAGACTCGCTCGAGCCCAGGAGTTGGACTTTGCTGTGAGCAGTGAAGGCATGGCACTCTACCCAGGGGGGCAGCTTGAGGCTCTGTCTCAAAAAAAAAAAAAAAAAAAAAAAAAGAAAAGAAAAAGAAAATGTGGGTAATGATATTAAAGTTTTTGGCAGACATACTTTCTGCTCACTCCCTTTGGTATAATCTAACTTTATTCACCTCATCAGTCACATAATCTCTCAACCATACCCAAAGCTATTCTATTAATCATCTTCACATATCTAACACCAGTTGCATTATCTGACATATAAAAGAAATTTCATCCAACATGCATTTATCAACTGTACACTACATGACCACACTTGTAAAGAGGCAGACATATGTTTGGGAGAATAATTAATTGTAAAGCACCACACCAATAAGTGAGAAGGCAAGAACCACATAAATCTGACTAAAGAGAAAATAATCAGAAAAAGCTACTTAGAGTCATGATTCAGACTAATAATCTCTTCAGATTAGAGAAAATGAAGACATAAAGCATAGATAGCGTCACGTACTGGTAATTCTTTGACAAATGTTAACAAAAGTAGCTTAAAGAAGAAGAAAGGCTTTTTTTAGCCATGAGTTCTTGAGCTGTATCATGAGACACAATGAGAAAACGTATATTATTGTTTCTGGCGAAGAGGAGAGTGCTGAAATTATTAGTTAAGGAAAGACACAAATTCTCAGGAGGTCAAGTTGTTCCCGTCATCAGCTGACGTCAACATCTCTCCTCAGTTCCACACACCCCTGCTCCATGCTCTTTCATCTGAGGGGCCTGACATCATAAGACTTGTGGCATATGGAAACACAGATTCTGCTTTGTGCCTTCCTTACTCTTCATAAAAATATATTAGCCATCTGGATTTTTAAGAATGTTGAGAGATGAATAGAGAAGCCATCGAAACAACTGAGTAACTTCAAATTCTTTTAGAAAATAGACAATAAAAAATAGATTTTTGTAAATGCTTCTACTTCATTTCTTTCACTTGATAATAAGATATATAATCTTATATCAGAAAAATTAATCATATCTGAAAGCAATCACTTTTCATAATTAGAAAAAAAATACCTTGTAATCCACTCCCCCAATTATTTTCCGAACTAGTTTAAATGTTAAGGCCCACAGCTGTGTTCTTTCCCATTCCAGACTGTCAGAATTTATTAGGGATTCACAAACCATCCTAGAAGAAAGAAATGCACATTCCAGTTAAAACAAAATTTTCCAAGTTCTCTAATAGCCATGGTCTATGTACTGCCAGTATTTTTTTTTTTTTTTTTTGCAGTTTTTGGCTGGGGCTGGGTTTGAACCCACCACCTCCAGCATATGAGGCTGGCGCCCTACTCCTTGAGCCACAGGCGCCACCCCAGTACTGCCAGTATTATATTAACCACAGCAAATATTTTTCATAAAAGAGCAGTATTACTTAAAAACATGTCTAAACATACATGGTATTTTACATTTTTTACTTGTATGAAGGATAAAAAACAAGGTCCAACTAAATAATATTATGTTTTAATTCCACTACATAGAAGTGTATCAACAGCCCTTGCTTAAATGTTTACCATCTATCACCTTATGGGAGACGGCATTTTCTCAAGATGGTAGCAACAACATTTTTGATTCCACATGCTCTTCTGAAACTTGACAATGATACAATCCTCATATGGGGAGGGGGGGTCTACTTTTTTCCTTTTAGATTTGGGTGGGCCTAAGACTATGGCAAAAAGGATGAAGCATGACTCCAATGGGAAGGTGATACAGCTTTTATCTAGCCCTCTCTTGAAGGCTTGCTCTTGGACCCCACCCACCATACAGTAAAAAAGTCCACAGGTGAGGGCATGCATAGGTTCTGGCCCACAGCCCCAGCTGAGGTCCTATATGGCACCATGGACCCAACCACTAGATACCTGAGTGAGAAGCCTTTGCTGTGACTCCTGCCCTCACCACCCTGGATTGTGATCATGTGAGAGACTCACAAAAACCTGCTTCTTAAGCCTAGTCAAGCACCATAAGCACAAATAATAATTTAAAAAATCATTATTATTCTTTTAAACCATGAAGTGATGAGGTAATTCATTGTGCAGAAAAAATAAACCAGAATAAACTAATCACTAAAATGAGTGATCTCAGCCCATGGGCAGAAAGGCAAAGGCTGCCTGCTTTTGAGCCTATCAGCAATTCAAAGAATACTGCACCCTAGAAACTAAAGCCTGAGGTATCTTGAAAGATTCCTTTAACAAACCTCACTTTCTTCTTTATTTCTTTATCATTTCACAACAACCTCAACCAATTTCCAAACATTTATAGAAAAGACAATTCTTTTCTTTAAGAGACAGGGTCTTATTTTGTTGCCCTCGGTAGAGCGCCGGTGGTGTCACAGCTCACAGCAACCTCCAGCTCTTGGGGCTTAGGTGATTCTCCTGCCTTAGCCTCCCAAGCAGCTGGGACTACAGGTGCCCACCATGCTCGGTATATAGGGCCGGCGCCCTACTCACTGAGCCACAGGTGCTGCCCCGACAATTCTTTGAATCACTCATACCCACCATTAAACATACCTGGGTGGAAGAAGACCGGTCTCAACTGCCATTGCTAAGCAGTCATAAAGAAAAGAGATTCTTTTAGGGCTATGCTGGCCATGAATAAATTTAACAATCCATTGTATACATTGTTCATGAGATTCCTAGAAAATGAGAAAATGTTTATTGTAGGTCAAAGATTATCAATTATTAATAAAAGATAGCTAATAATACACCTCAAAGTATATTAAGACTATACATGAAATATGTTACTATGAACAACTGTGAATGAAAATAAGTTTTAAAAAAGATTTTTAAACTACAGACGTATTATATGTTCTTTAAGCTTAAAATCTTATAATTACATAGATTAAACTCTACCATTTTTATTACACAGGACTTCCAAAAGTGGTAAGATTTTATTAGCATATTCATGCTAATATAACAAACTCTTTTTTTTTTTTTTAAGACAGAGCCTCAAGCTGTCCCCCTGGGTAGAGTGCCGTGGCATCACAGCTCACAGCAACCTCCAACTCCTGGGCTCAAGCAAGTCTCCTGCCTCCGTCTCCCAAGTAGCTGGGACCACAGGCGCCCGCCACAACGCCTGGCTATTTTTTGGTTGCAACCGTCAGTTGTTTGGCGGGTCCAGGATTCGAACCCGCCAGCTCAGGTGTATGTGGCTGGCACCTTAGCTGGTTGAGCCACAGGTGCTGAGCTCAATAACAAACTCTTAACACAGTTTGTGTAAGGCTCTGTCAATAGTGCCCTTAATATGTAAATATTCCTGTCACTGGGGAGTGAATCTATAAATTAGTACCTCAGCTTCATGAGAATTTAGTTAATCTAATCCCCAAGAGACCAAACAAAGGCCCATAATGAATCCAATGATAAATCAGATTTCTAGACTTGTAAAAACTTTAAATCTGATACTAAAATCTTGTTCCTATATCAAATTTGTGTTCTAGCATTTTCAAGAGGAGCCTATGAAGGCCTAAGCTCTACATGACCACAGTCCTTCATGCACAACAATGTTCTTCCCCTTTTTTTGAGACTGAGTCTCACTCCACTTCCCACACTGAAGTGCTAGGGAGACAGCCTACCTCACAACAACCTCAAACTCTTGGGTTCAAGCAATCCTCCTGTCTCAGCCTCCCAAGTAGGTTAGACAACAGGTGCCCACCATAATGCCTGGCTAATTTTTCTTTCTTTTTTTCTCTTGCTCAGGCCAGTCTTGAATTCCTGAACTCAAGCAATCTTCCAGCCTTGGCCTCCAGAGTGCTAAGATTACAGGTTTGAGCATCCAGCCCACACTTGTATTCTTTTATCACAGTACATATAATGATGATTTAGAAATACCTGTAGCAGCCCGTCTAGACTATGGCTAGGAGGAATGAGAGTTATAAGAAAATACCTGAATAGCTCAATAATGGAACACCTTGGTGAAAAGGGGCATGGAAAGGGATTTAGCTCTCCTAACAAGCATGAGAGCTTGCGAGATGAGAACATTGGTGAATTGGCAGTCTCTATACCTGTTGTGTTGAGAGGCATGAGATCAGCCTTATATCCGGCTGGAGGAGAAGGCAGTCAGGAGTATGTGCATTCTGTCATGTACCCGCTTACTCTGACTCTATGTCCTCTCCTGCCAGCAGAATGCCAGCATGGCGTCTTTCTGATGAAGATTACCAAGCTCTATCTAGTCTTAGTCTTAGCTCTAAAGACTAAGATCCATCTTAAAGACTGCTTTACTCTCTCAAAGACTGTCTGTCTCCTCCTACCCCTCAGCTAAAGTAAAGCCCTCAGGCATCTAAGAGAAATTGTTCCTGAGCAAGGTAGCTTAGCAGTCCAAGTCTGGAACCTAGTTAAGCCAGCCTGAAACCTGGCCAGTCCTGGGCCCTGACAAGTGGTGGCAGTGGTGGGCTGTGACAATACCTATTTTCTTCCTGGCTCCCCTACTGGAATATAAACGTCTCACAGACAAAAGACACACCTTAACTCATAAAATGTTTAATGGATTAAAAAAGAAAAAATCAAAATAAGTTGCAAACATGTTCAACATCACTGAGAGAAAATAAAACTATAACGAAAGTAATTTTCCCATGTTTTTGATTAGCAAAAATTATAAAGTTTATTAACACTCTATGGTGAAGCTAGAGGAAACAGACAATCTCATACACTGCTGGTAGGAGTGTAAACTGGCATTACACTTAATAGCAAGTTGTATAAAAATAAATAGGCACACCCTTTGACTCAGCAATACTACTCTCAGAAATTTACCCTATGTCCTTTGCATAATAGTAAATATTACAGCATTGTTGAAAGTAAAAAAGTTAAACAGAAACCTCAAGTCAGTCAGTTGAGGATGGGTTAAATCAATGAAGTACAGCCAAGAAATAGAATATTATGACTCTATAGAAAAAAAAAGAAAGATGAAAATGAAACTCTAATGGCCTGATACGGAATTACCTTAAACATTTATTTTTAGGGGAGACAGGCAAGGTGGTAATTAAGGAACAGTGCACATGGTATCTGACCATTTTATGAAATGATCCTATATGCATAAAATACTTTTAGAAGAAAACATAAACTGGGGATACTGACATTAGACAAGAAAAAGAACAGCTAAGAGATGTGAGGGAGACTAGCCACTGGATCCACCCTTTTGTACCTATACACTGTGACCAGTATGAACGCATTGTCTATTAGAAAATGATTAAAACGAAATTGTAAAATATGAACATACTGGCAGTATATGACCCATGTCTAAGTGGCAAATCTTACCACCAGTGGCTGACATGCAGACACAGTTCTTACCTACAGGGCCCCATGAGAACATGATGCACTCCTGGAATAACAGATCTTCAGGGAGCATACATTTTGTCTTTTTCATGGAAGTGTTTTCTGATAAAATGTGTCTGTCCTTTGTTACTAAGTTTTGTGGTTTTTTCCCCATGTGTATCATAGTATCTTTGTATGTTTATTACTTTTTGTATTTCTATTTTAGTATTTTTGTATCTTTAGTATAGCAACTCCATCACTATACCTTTCTATCAATGCTGCTGTAGTTTATTTAGTAAAGAGAACAAAAAGAATGAAAAAATTCTTATCCAAGTAAAACTCAACTACAACTGTTATTTTGGTTTCTAAAAAAATTTTATTTATTTTATTTATGTATTTGAGACAGGCTCTTGTTCTGTCACCCACGATGGCATGTAGTAGTCTCATTGTAGCCCATTACAAATTCAAATTCCTAGGATCAAAGGATTCTCCTGCCTCAGCATCACAAGTAACTGAGACCACAGGCACCTACCACCACACTCTAGTAATTATTCTATTTTTTCATAGAGACAGGGTCTCTCTCTTGGTCAGGCTGGTCTCCAACTCCAGGCCCCAAGCAATACTCTGGCATCAGTCTCCCTCAAGTACTAGGATTGAAGGTGTGAGCCACCATACCTGGCCAATGGAATGGTTTTCAAGTGTACCGAACAAATCAGAATAAGATAAAAATTGTCTTACATAATTTAACATGGGGGAGATTTTTAAAAACATGCTACACTGCATAGTCATCAACTTGACTTCTAAACACAGGTTCTCTGCTGAAGCATAGAAATTAAGATAAATGAAAAAAAAAAGAAATTAAGATAAATGGAAGCCAGTATAATAAATGGTGCCAATTTTAATTCTCCCTTTCCAGAAATATCTTAAGAGCAACATCAAGTAAATGTAAAAAAGAAGACATCAAAAATTAAAACTGTAATGCTCACCTGAGAAAGACCACCCCAAAACTGTCTGAAGGCCGCCAAACAGCTAATTAGTTTTGTTTTTTCATCTTCGGGGGTATCCATAAACATGCTAAAAAACAAAAATTGCATTATTTGCTACTAGTTTTTAAAAGGTGAACATAACCAGAATAGTGGATTTTATAACCCTCCAGGAGGAACCTAAATTAAATCTTACAAAGACACAACTGCATAAAAACACATCTGCCGTGCATACACTCACCCGGGGAAAGCCTCTTCTATAATTTCCGTCTTCTGTAAAAAGTAAAAACGTAAACAAAGTGAATTTTAACAAGAAGCCTCCCTTAGCGAAATACTACAATGTAACATAGGACAGGACATCTTAACCAGCGCTGAAACGAACAATACCTGCCTGGCCTGTCACAAAGGGCGCGGAGGATTCAAAGGCTACACCGAACCTGACAGCCCTTTGAGAATCTCTGAAGCCCCGCACACAGTCGGCATCGGAGCAAAGGGGAGGCGTGAGAGGAGGACACCCCCCACTCTCCCTGCCCGCTGCCCCCGAGTCTGCCCTCCCCGAGCCCCGGTCCGGATCGCCGGCGGCTGCACTCACCACCACCTCCTCAAAAATGCTCTGCAGCTGCGTCTCCATCGGAACCATGGCCCCCGCCTTCCCCGGGCGCCCGGCGCGGCCCGGGCCCGGCTTCGGGAATAAAGGGACTGAGGGGTGGGGACCTCCAAAAGTGACCGCGGCTCAGCGGAGTCGCTTCCCACCCCCGCCGCCGTCGGGGGCGGGTTCCCTCCAGAGCCCCGCCGGCAACCGCAGCCGGTGCGGAAGCGGGGAAGCGCCGAGTGCGCGCCTTTTAGGAACCCCTCAGAAAACAGGAGCCCGGCCAGATGGTTCTGCTGGTGAAGGGCGGCCCGCAAGCCGCACGACAGCGCCCCCCAGCGGAGCCGCGAGCCCAAGTCACTCGGCGTCGGCGGCGTCGACTGCAGGCGCCACCTGCCGGCTCGAGTGGGCGTTGCCCCGTGCTTGGGGCCGACCCTTTTGCAGTCTCAGGGGAGAGAAGCTGGGGACCAGGGGCTGCATCCTGACCTGATGTGTATTTACCAGGTTATCTTTTGTGAATTATCTTTATGGAGTTCTTAGTTCCAAGACAGTTTTCATCTGCTAGCTGGCAGCTTTCCATGTTTCCTGTCTGCGTTGTTCCAATTAGTGTATTTTCAGCAAATGCTCCTAAACTTAATATTGGCCCCTGCTTTTGAAATAGGCCTTGGTCAGGAGAGAATTCTATTTTTTACATCACAAAATATATGTGATGTTTTACATTATATTTGCTGATGTTTCATTCAGTGAATCAAAGTGACTATCTGCTGCATGTAGGGACCCAGGGCTGTATACCCAGCTAGGTGGGAGGACAACTTGAGCCCAGGAATTTGAGGCCAGCCTGGGCAGCAAAACAAGACCTTGTCTCAAAAAAAAAAAAAAAAAAAAAACCCAACCAAACAAAAAAAACTATTCATTTTGGCTTGGCACCTGTGGCTCAAGCAGCTAAGATGCCAGCCACATATATCTGAGCTGGTGGGTTCAAATCCAGCCTGGGCCCACCAAACAACAATGATAGCTGCAACAAAAGATTGCCGGGCGTTTTGGTGGGTGCCTATAGTCCCAGCTACTTGCGAGGCAGAGGCAGGAGAATCGCTTGAGCCCATGAGTTGGAGGTTGTTGTGAGCTGTGATGCCACAGCACTCTACCCAGGGAGACACCTTGAGGCTCTGTCTCAAAAGCAACAACAACAACAAAACTATTCATTTCTAGACCTTCTTAATGTATTTCCCTATGCTCATTTTTTTTTTTTTTTTTTTTGCAGTTTTTGGCCGGGGCTGGGTTTGAACCCACCACCTCTGGCGTTTGGAGCCGACACCTTACTCCTTTGAGCCACAGTCGCCGCCCCTTAAGCTTATTAGTATTGGTGTATAGTTTATTTACGATCGTATGGATCCGTGAATTTTGACAAATATTCACACTTAACACTTCAGTCAAGATTAGAATTTTTTGCCAGGTCCCTGTGGTTCACACCTATAATCCTAGCATTCTGGGAGACAAAGGCAGGAGGATCCCTTGACCTCAGGAGCTCAAAGCCAGCCTGTCTCTACTATAAATAGAAGGAAAAGAATTATCTAGGCCTTGCGGTGGGCAAAAGAAGATTTTTCTGTCACCTCAGAAAGTTTCTGGTGCCCCTTTGCAGCCAACCCTTCTTTCCCCCCCCCCCCGAGAGACAAAAACTTTTCAATTATAATCACTAATTACTTTTGCTTGTGCTTGACGCTTACGTTCTTGAGGCACTGCACATTCTCATTTTGTGTCTAGGTTCTTTCACACATTGTTATATTGGAGATGCATCCATTCGTGTTACTGCCGAGTAATATTCCACTGTATGAATATACTCATATTATTTCCGGATTCACCTGGTGGTGTATATTTATGTCGTTTTTTACTATTATGGAAAAAGTTGCTAGGAACATTCTCAAAGAAGCCTTCCCCTGTGGACACACGTTCTCTTTTCTATTGAGTATAGACCGAGGATGTTTTGGGGTTATCTGTTAAGTATGTGTATAACTTTTTAAGAGATTGGCAAACAGTGCTCACAAAAAAAAATTCCTTTTAACTATTTACACTCCCGCTACTAATATACGAGAGTTTGACTTGTTCTATACCATGGTTCATATTTAGTGTTGTCAGTCTTTTTGTGTCTAGCAGTCTTTGTGTGTAGTCTATCTCAGAGTGCTTTAATTTCCATTTTCCTCATGACTACTGATAGTGAATACCATTTTAAGTGTATTTTATAGGCCTTCAGTCCCCAATTCCCAGGCTGTGGGTTAGTACCTATTGGTGACCTTTTAGCAACCAGGCACAGGGCAGGAGCTGAGTAAATGAAGCTTTACCTGTATTTATAGTTGCCCTCCCATCACTGGCATCCTGGCCTGAGCCCTGCCTCTGTTGGGTAAGTGGCAGCATTAGATTCTCATAGGATCCCACATACTAGTATATCCTGCATATGTGAGGGATCTAGGTTGTGGAGATGTAATGTGCTCAAACCACCGCCACTCCTCTGGTGGGTGAAAAACTATCTTCCGTGAAACCAGTCCCTGGTGCCAAAAAGGTTGGGAGGCTATTCTCTTATCTTTCACAAAGGGCCAGTGCCCATTATTAATCAAGTTTTTTCATAGTCTTCGTTTGTAGAAATGCTAATACATTTTGAACACAAATTTTTCAGCCATATGTATGGTGAACGTTTCTTCTTGGTCTTGACCTACTTTTTCATTTTTAAATCATGTCTCTGATGAGTGGAAAGCTTTAGGTTTGATGAGGTCCAGTTTGTTAATTTTAAATTTTTGTGATTATTGTTTTATAGAATCTTAGTCATGAAGCTGTATTTCAATATTTTCTTCTAGAACTTTTGTGCTTTTAGCTTTGACATTTAGCTTCATGATGCAGTTGATTTAATTTTTGTGGATGGGGGAGAGGGTACCAGACTATCTCCTCCTCTTCTCAAGAGGGGTTAGGACAGCTACCCAAGGTGAGACTCCTGCCTGGTGAGTCCAGAGCATAGAACGCCAAGCCAGACTTGACTACCCTCAAGTCTCCAAAGCGAGGGGAATTTGCCCTGTTAGTTTTCTGACTTGCATGGGACTTGTGACTCTTTTCTTCTTGCCTATTTCTCACTTACAGAAGGGAAATGTCTGTTCTATGCCTGTTTAACTGCTCCATTTTGGAAGCACAAAACATCATTTTCATAGGCTCATGGCTGGAGAGGAATTTTGCCACAGGATTAGTTATACTCCAAGTCTCTTCATTACAGCACTATTTGTTAAAACAACCTTCCTTTTCTCTTGACTAGCTTTGTCTTACTGTGGGTGTGGTTTTGGACTCTCTCTTCTATTCTATGCCAGTATCATGTTATCTCAAGTGCCGTGGCTTCTTAGTAAGTCTTGAAATAGTGTAAGTACTCCAAGTTTACTTTTTCAAGCTTATTTTTGCTATGCTAGGTCCTTTGCATTTTCATGTAATTTTGGAATCAGTTTGTCAATTTTTTTTCTTTTTTTGAGACAGAGTCTCAAGCTGTCCCCCTGGGTAGAGTGCCATGGCATCACAGCTCATAGCCAACTCCTGGGCTCAAGTGAGTCTCCTGCCTCTGCCTCCCAAGTAGCTGGGACCACAGGCACCCGCCACAACCCCTGGCCATTTTTTGGTTGCAGCCGTCATTGTTGTTTGGTGGGCCCGGGCTGGATTCAAACCCACCACCTTAGGTGTATGTAGCTGGCGCCTTAGCCACTTGAGCCACAGGCACCGAGCCCAGTTTGTCAATTTTGACCCAAGACACAATTGGCATTTGGGGGGATTAAATTAAATATATAAAGTAATTTGTGATATATTTGATACCTAGACACTATTAAGTTTATCATTCAGTTTGAGTGTAGATATCTTTATTTACTTAGGCCTCATTGTATTTTTTCAGCAAAATTAAGCTGTTTTACTCTCCAGGTCTTACACGTTTTGTTATTAAATTTATGTTTAACTATTTCATGGGATTGTTTATTTTTTAAATACCATTTCAAATGATCTTTTTAAAGTGCTATTTTTTTTAAACTGATTTTTGCTAACATCAAGAAATAGAATTTGGCTTGGCGCCTGTGGCTCAGGTGGTTAAGATGCCAGCCACATACACCTGAGCTGGCGGGTTCGAATCCACCCTGGGCCTGTCAAACAATGACGGCTGTAACCAAAAAATAGCCAGGCGTTGTGGTGGGCGCCTGTTGTCCCAGCTACTTGGGAGGCAGAGGCAGGAGAATTGCTTGAGCCCAGGAGTTGGAGGTTGCTGTGAGCTGTGATGCCACAGCACTCTACCCAGGGTGAAAGCTTGAGGCTCTGTCACAAAAAAAAAAAAAGAAAGAAAGAAAAAGAAATAGAATTCAGGGCTTGGTGCCTGTGGCTTAAGTGGCTAAGGCACCAGCCACATATACCTAAGGTGGAGGGTTCAAATCCAGCCCGGGCCCGCCAAACAACAATGATGGCTGCAACCAAAAAATATAGCCAGGCATCGTGGCAGGCACTTGTGGTCCCAGCTACTTGGGAGGCAGAGGCAGGAGACTCACTTGAGCCCAGGAGTTGGAGGTTGAGGCTCTGTCTCAAAAAAAAAAAAAAAAAGAAAAAAAGAAATAGAATTCAGGGCGGCACCTGTGGCTCAAAGGAGTAGGGTGCCACTTGTGGCTCAAGGGAGTAGGGTGCTGACCCTATATGCCGAAGGTGGCAGGTTCAAACCCAGGTCTGGCCAAAAACCACACAAAAAAAAAAAAATAGAATTAATTTTTGTATTGACCTTTTATCTTGTGATCTTGCTAAATTTACTTACTAGTGTTAGTAGCTTTTTACAGATCCCTTAAAATCTTCCATGTACACAATATGATCATCAGCAAATGCCAGAGTTTGACTTCATCTTTTCCAATCTTTTTGCCTTTTGTCCCTGTTCCCGGATTTATCACACAGACCAGGACCTTCAGCAGGGCAAGGGTGAACCGATGGCATGAGAAGATATCTTTGCCTTGTTCCTGATCTTATGGGGAAAACAGCCTCACATAAGCACAGGTTTTTTTTATTGATTCCCTTTATCATTTTGTTTTTTATTTGAGATAAAGCCTCAAGCTGTCACCCTCGGTAGAGTGCCATGGCATCACAGCTCACAGCAACCTCCAACTCTTGAGCTCAAGTGATTCTCCTG